TTGGTGAAGTGTTTTGATGGACACAAGTTTTTAATTTTTAGTATGTCCCATTCCTCTATTTTGTCTATTTTTGTTTCTGTACTTTTCAGAATGTGTGGCAGCCTATATATGCCCTGAATTAGCGCCCTCACGTTCGTCCCTATCTTTTCATTGATGATCTTCATAATTTTGGGATTCACGTTTAGATCTTTAATCCATGTTGAGTTCATTTTTGTATAGGGTGTGAAGCAAAGGTCTTGTTTCCGTTTTTTACAAATCACTTTCCAGTTCTGCCAGCACTATTTGTTAAAGAGACTGTCTCTTCTCCATGCCATGTGCCTAGGCACTTTGTCGAAAATCATTTGGCTGTAAGTGGTTTGGGTTGATATCTGGATTCTGGATTTTGTTAACATTGATCAATGTCTCTTTCACTGTACCAGTACCAGGCTGTTTTGACCACCGTAGCCATGTAGTAAAATTTGAGATCAGGCAATGAGAGACTCCAACCTTGTTCTTCCTTTTAAGAAGTGCTTTGCTTATCCTGGGTCTCTTTCCTTTCCATATAAAATTACTAATTGTCCGAATGGGCTGGCCTTAGCCCTGCCCTCTAAACTCTGCAGTCGCTGGAGTGACCCGCCTTCCCGCGGGCGAGAGTCCTAAAATGCCTGTTTTTTCCTTAGCAGCATGATTTCTCAAGAATGCGAGTTCGGGAGACCGAAATAGTAGATCTTATGATAGTTCAAAAGCCGTGGGTCTGGTATATGAATGTTTCCTTTGTGAGATCTCCCTCCCTTCTCACCGGAGCTTTCCCTACCTGACTGCTCTTGCTGTGGCCCGGAACCTTAAGATTGCTTAAGACATTTTTAAAGTGTTGAAGAGCTTGAAGACTAAGGTGTGCCTGACCATGGCATTTTCAATACCCTCATATGCATGTGAAAGCTGGACAGTGAATAAGGAAGACCATAGAAGAATCGATGTCTTTGAGTTATGGTGTTGTAGGAGAGTATTGAAAGTGCCATGGACTGCCAAAAGAACCAATAGATCTGTTTTGGAAGAAGTGCAGCCAGAGTGCTCCTTGGAGGCCAAGATGACCAAACTTCATCGACCATACTTTGGACATATTGTCAGGAGGGACCAGTTGCTGGAGAAGGATATCATGTTTGGTAAGGTGGAGGGTCAGAGAAAAAGAGGAAGACTCCCAAGGAGATGGATTGGCCAAGTGGCAGCATCAATGGGCTCAAGCGTGGCAACAGTAGTGAGGTTGGCCCAGGATCAGGCAGTGTTTTGTTCTGCTGTGCATAAGGTCACTACGGGTCGGTACCGACTCGATGGCACCTAACAACAGCAACTAAGGTGGACCACATTTCTCTGAAGTTCTATTATTCATGTTTGATTCTTTTTTCTCTAGATCTTTAGATTATGCAGTTTTAATAGTTCTATCACAAGTTTATTTGGTTTTTTATTTTTTCCAGTTTAGAGCTGATGTTGAGACTCTGTAGTGCATTTTTTATTTCAGTTTAATTTTCAATTCCAGAATTTTAAGTTGAAATTTTTTTTTTTTTTTTAACATTCCCATTATATCTGTGTCTTAGTTCCCTTTCAACATATTTATATTGGCTACTTTGTCATGTTTGGTAAGGTGGAGAGGGTCAGAGAAAAAGAGGAAGTCCCCCAGCAAGATGGACTTGCTAAGTGGCAGCATGAGTGGGCTCAAGCGTGGCAACAATAGTGAGGTTGGCTCAGGACCAGCCAGTGTTTCGTTCTACTGTGCATAAGGTTGCTATGAGTCAGCACCAACTCATTGGCACCTAACAACAACAACTTGTCTGTTAAATTCAATACCTGATCACTCTGAGAGTCAGGGAAGATGAAATTAATGTTTCCATAAACTTTTTGAAGTCCATTCATTATTACTATGTGCCGTGGAGTCGGTTCTGACTCATAGTGACCCTGTACAGGGTTTCCGAGGCCCTGCCAATCTTAGGTTCTCAAGTCCAGTTCTGAGCCTATAGCACCAAACCAGTCTCCCAATTTTTTGTGGAAAACTGCATTTTGGATAATACATTGTATAGTGTAGCAGCACTCCCCTTTCTCTGGCTACAGTGTTAGTAGAATGGTGGTCCCAGTGGGACACAGCTTCAGGTATGCCCACACTATACTGGAATGCCAGTGGTTTGGGTAGGAAGGGCTCTCTGACTCTCTGGCCACACGTAGCTATTAGCTTTGCTGGAGTCCTGGTGTGGCGTTGTGGGAAAAAGCACTGGACAGCAAGGTTGGTTTTAACTGCCAGGTCAATGGTTCAAGCTCATCAACCACTCCTTGGAAACACTATACAGGGACTGGATGGCTCTAAAGCAGGTGGGGGAAACATCTGGTCTGTCCCTGCCACGGCAACAGCAGTTCCAGCCATCATGTTGTTGTGAAACACCATCGAATTGGTTCCAACTCATAGCAACCCTGTATAGGGTTTCCGAGGAGTGGCTGGTGGATTTGAACCACTGACCTTCGGCTCAAACTGACCTCGCAATCTGGCGCATTAACCCACAGCGCCACACATTAGAGGTGAGTTAATTAAATGTTTGACCAAAAATGTTTGACATAATTTTTTTTTTTAAAGTTTTTTATTGTGGATTGAGTGAAAGTTTACAGGGCAGATCATTAGTTTTACATTTAACAAAGCATACACACCTTGTTTCATTACAATGATTATAATCCCCTCCATGTTCCATCAGTTACTAGTGTTTCTCTCTATTCACTTTAGTATTTTTTAAAAACACTCAGGCATGTATAATAATTTACACCACCAAAGGGCACATTCTGCAAGTCTGCCTCCTGGCCATCATCTCTTCCCATGAATCTAGAGTCCTCAGCTGCTCCCCATCTCCATGACCCCATCTCTGCCTCTGTCTCTGGCGTTGCTGCTTCTCTGGATAAAGTCCCGCGTTCCACTTGTGCTCTTCTCCCTTGATGATCCTAGGATCCTCTGTTTCTGGAATGTAGTATTAACCATTCCCTCATTTTTGTTACAAAACTTCTACCCTTACAATTGTGATAGTTGCAATTAGTCATGGTAACAATTACTCATTGAATCCTAAGACTCTTACCTCCATCTCTTTTTACCAGACACATTTACACAAGATGAAAATTATTCAGTAGGGACTCTTTCTTCCCCTGCACAGTCTTAAACTAAGCTCCCCCTTGAAACCTTAAGCCAGTCTCACTTCGTGCCTTTATTGCCCCGCCCCCTCATTTTAGGTAAGCAGGCGAATTTTTAGTTGGTAATTATGTATGACCCATGTATGATGTTATAAATTTTGTCAGAAAATAGGCTCCCCACCCCTGCTCTAATGCATAAATTTCTCTACAGACTAAGCTCAGCTCCTTTGAAGGTAGTTATTGAGGTGTTTGAGATATATGAGCCAGGGCTACTCCTAGCTATTTCTTTCCTAGTTGCCTCCTACCCAGCCCCAATATTGTATGTTGTACCTATACTGATGAAGGAGCTCTGGTAGCGTAGTAGTTACAAATTGGGCTGCGAACCACAAGGTCAGCAGTTTGAAATTACAGCTGTACCATAGGAGAAAGATGGGGCTTCTGTTCCCGTAAAGATTTACAGCCTTGGAAACCCTGTACAGGGTCTCTGTGAGTCGGAGCTGACTTCATGCATATAACCACCACCACCACATACATTGACAGTTAATTTACCTGTACTCTCCCAATTTCCGTTTGTTACATATGCTACTTACTGTTTTTGAGAACACCTTTAGTTTGAGTTTTTACAAACTCTGCTATAAAAGTCGTCATTCTTTTCAGGAAGCAATTAGGAGGTTCTCCCCCTGGACAAAAGTCCCTGAGCTAAGACTCTGGCACTCAGTGCATTTCCGAGCGCCTGGCACCCCACCTCAGGAGCTGAGTGCAGAACCCACCCCCCACCCCCGTTACAAGGCAGGGTAAGACTGAGCATGACCAGAGTCTTCTCAGTGGTGCCATGTCTGAGGGAGTGTCTTCATCCTTCAATAATGGGGCTGAGCAGAAGGGAGCCCTACCTCGTGTACACTTTCTGGAAATTTAGCGTCAGCAACAGACAGCTGGGAATAGTATGAGACCTATGTTCAATCCTCCCCAGGAAGAAAGCCTTCAAACTGGGAGGAGAGGGAACTCTGTGGTCTTGGACTGAAGTTTGGTTCAAATCTCAGATACCCATGGTTCTGACCAAATTTAAGTAGATCTTTTTGGGACCATTGTTATTGTTAAGTGCCATCAAGTTGGCTCTGACTCATAGTGACCCTGTATAGGGTTTCTTAGGAGCAGCTGGTAGATTTGAACTGTTGACCTTATAGTTCACAGTCCAGTGCTGATCCTACAGCGCCACACCAGGAGCCCTCTTAGGCTCACTATATAGACTTGATAACATTTATTTTAGTTACTTTGTTTTTTAAATACATGTCACCAGTTTCACTGGTGAGGGGGAGGGGCTCCTTATAATGGTTTGCTAAGGAGACTCTTATTTTTTGACAGGTCACTAAAGAAGATCAGTCTTTCCAGGACATCATGCGCTGTTACAGGACTCAACCACAGGCCCGGAGTCAGGTAAGCACGTTTCCTCATCAGCCTTGAAAACCAAGCTCACAAGTCTGTAAGGAATTTTAAGAAGCAAGCATAGTAGTTTGTGTGTTTCTTTCTCCAGGATAAACAACTTGAGAATTGACTTTTAAGGAAGTGTCTGCTAATCTTATTTAATCATTATCAAATAGCCTCTGGAGCCAACCATGTGTGTTATTTGATTGTCTTGAGTTTATGTTTGGCTATTATTAGGTCCTGGTGTGGTGCTGTGGGCTAATGCAGCAGACTGTAAAGCCGTTTGAACTGCAAGGTCAGCAAAAATTCAAGTTCACCAGCTACTCCTTGGAAACCCTATTCAGGGTCGCTATGGGTCGGAATTGACTCGACGGCACTTAACAACAATCAGGTCCTAGTGTAGCACTGTAGGATAAGTACTGGACTGCTAACCAAAAGGTTGGCGCTTCAAATCCACCAGCCACTCCTTAGAAACCCTATATATATATGGTCGCTATGAGTCAGAACAAGGAGCTCTGGTAGCGAAGTGGTTACAAATCGGGCTGTGAACCTCAAAGTTAGCAGTCTGAAACTACCAGCTGTTCTGTGGGAGAAAGATGAGGCTTGCTGCTCCCATAAAGATTTACAGCCTTGGAAAACCCTATACAGGGTCGCTATGAGTCGGAACTGACTCGACGGCACTTAAGGTTATTACTACAAAGGTTCCTATGTAACACAGATGATTAGTGCTCTACTGTTAAACCTAAAAGTTGCATGTTTTAATCTACCTAGTGGAACTATGGGAAAAAGTCCTGTTGAATGTTAAAATGTTACAGCCAAGAAACCTGTCATATATGGGGTTGCCACAAGTTGGAGATCACTGGATGGTTTCTGTTATTTTTCATTATTTCTGCTCTGTAATTAATGTAAAGCCAGACAGGGCTTCTAAGATTTCGTCAGGGCCTATCTAGAGCCGGTGTGAGTCAGAAGTGACCTGGTGGAATTGAGTTTGGTATTGATTGTGGCTATTTATGTATTTGAACCTCTTCAGGGTAATACAACTACTGCTACTACATGGGGTTGTTGTGAGAATCCAATAACATGCCAAGGCTTTAGAATCTAGTTTGTGCTCTATGAATATAGTTTCTGCCCCCTTGTCACTGTGTTATTAAAGGTGTACAGAAGTGTTTTGATAAAAGGGAAAAAAAGAAGAAATTCTGGAAGCAGTGATAGCCGAAGCCATCAGAATTCTCCAACAGAATTAAACAAAGATAGAAGTAAGTGCAATGTTTCTGAACTCTTAGAAAAAAAAATTAGCGCCCTCTTCATTTCCTAGGAGAACTAGAAGGTGAGAGATGAGATGACAAAGTGCAAATGCTACTGAATTATGAAAATGTGTTATTGGCCATGGAGTTATTACAACAAACAAGCTTCTTAATTTAGTGGAATAGTTGTCCTTCATCCCATAGCATTCAGGCATATCATTCATGGCATTGTTCTCCAGGAAATAAGAGAAGGTTTCAGAAAAGAATTTGCTGGTCTGGGTTCCAGAAAGGTCTAGCATATCAACTTCAACCATGCCACAGAAGTACCATTTCTGGTTTCTGGCCTGAATCAAGAAGTTTAAATCCTAGCAAACCTGGTGTGTCATTGATTAATGGGAACTACTCCACTCCTGCTACATTTATGGCATAGGGCTACAAGTAATAACTATCTGTGCTTTGCCTCTCTGGTAGGCATAATGAGAGTGCGCTGTTTACTAACATTAAACTGTGCAGGTCCCTCTTCATCTTTTCCCTGAGGGAATTTTCTTGCATAATCTGCACTAGCATTAATTGTGGTTAACACCCTTTTCTACCTCTACAGCCAGCAGAGACTCCAGTCCTATTATGAGGTCCAGCAGCACCTTGCCAGTCCCACAGCCTAGCAGTGCCCCTCCCACACCTACTCGGCTCACAGGTGCTAACAGTGACATGGAAGAAGAAAGGGGAGACCTCATTCAGTTCTACAACAGCATCTACATAAAACAAGTCAAAACATTTGCTATCAAGTACTCACAGGCAAACACAGTAAGTCTGGGGGAGATTATTTTGTACTTACTTTTATCTTAGTGGTTCTTTGTTTTTACAAATGATTATTTAATTCAATAAGAAGTGTATAACAGAATTCATTTGCCTAACATAATTTCTATTTTCATAAGGCATCCCCACATAGCATAGCCATACGGCAGGACTGACTGCATGGATTGACATGCAGTTACTTGCAAATTACTGATCTTTCCCAGTGACTCATTTCATTGTACAATGGGGATTTCAGAACATTTGTGGGAAAATTCCATTCTTTTTTAAGTCCATTTTTTCATGAAATTTTGAAGCCCCTTCATATTTAAGGTGGGAATAGTAGTTACTAGCTTATAGGGTTGTTGTAAGGATAAAATAGAGTATGTATGTATATAACACATATGAACAAGTATCAAAAAGTTTGTGGAAAACTCCCATTATACTTTCGTTTTTCTTCACCATTTAATAGTATATTTGCTTCTATTGAACTTTTTTCTTTCTTTCTTTTTTTGGTACACAAAAACACATTGAAACAACCAAAGGGCACATTCTGCAAGCCTACCTCCTGGCCGCCAACACACAGCCTTTTTCTTTCTCTCCATGTCCTCATCTCTGTCTCCATCTCTAGTGTTGCTGCTTCTCTGGATAGGGCCCCACATTATGTGACGTTCTTCTTCCTTGATGGTCCTAGGGTCCTCTGTTCCTGGAATTTAAGATTAACTATTCCCCGCCCCCCCTTTATGTTACAAAACTTCTACCTTTACTGTTGTGATGATCACAATTAGTTGTGGTAACAGTTACTCACTGTTGAATCAAAAGAATCTTATCCCCATATCTCCTTTTACAGACCCATCTAGACAAGATGAAAATTATTGAGTGGGGATTGCACCTTCCCACGCACACTCTGAAACTAAACTCCTTCTTGAAAACTTGTAGGCCAGTCACTTTGTGCCTTTGTAAATGTCTCCTCCTACCCCCTGCCATTTCTGATAGTCACTGTCTAAGTTGCCTGTCCCTATCAACCCTGTATACAGAGGTGATAGGCTTGATCCTTGATGTGAAAACTCCTTCCCTGTCAGTATTTTGAGTTACTACATCCTTAAGTATAGGTCAAGTTCAGCAAATTGTAGCAGTTTACACTTGCTTGCTTTATCAGATTTCTTCATTTTCCTCTAGTTGAGCTATAGTCATTAAGCCATTGAAGCTAGGTCAAATGGTTCCACATTATCTTTTCATTTTCCAAAAATTTTATAAAACCTTCTTGTATATTTATATATACATCCATATATATGTATGTACATATATATAATACTTAATATAGTGGCTTGTATCAAGTAAGCACGTAAAGTGGTGTTTGCTTATTGATTTTCTTCAGGTATAATTGGTACAAATATAGTACTGTTTTCTAGTCATAACTGTTTGTTATTCCTCTTTACTCTTTCAAAAGTGACCATTTTCAGAAAAGTACATGGTTGAAAACTTGGTTTGCTCTTCTGAGAACTGATTTTTTTTTTTTTTTAAACAGATGGATGCTCCCCCACTCTCTCCTTACCCGTTTATAAGAACAAGCTCTCCCCGCCGAATACAGTTGTCTCAGAAGCATCCTATCTACATTTCCCCACATAAGAATGAAACGATGCTTACTCCTCGAGAGAAGATTTTCTACTACTTCAGCAACAGTCCTTCAAAGGTGAGTCTAACGTTAAGTCAGTGACCCTGACACTAGAAAGAGAGTTTATGCTAAATTGTGGGCACTAACTAGATTAAAACAGCAACTAAGGAAAAGTGATTAAAAACATTTTTTTTTTTCCGTTCATTTAGAATAGGACTTTATTGGTTGAAAAGGTAAGGAATTTGGATTCATTTTTATTCTCTCCTTTGTTTGTGCATTTTTAACATTTCTAAGTGTGGAGATTTTTATTCCATTTGTAATTTTAGAAATATAAATTTAATATTACAAATAATTTTAATCTTACACCTTTCTGCTAGGGAAAGAAAATTTGGATTCTTCAACAAATTATAACGGACCTGTTTCTGGTACTAGACTTTGTCAAAGGGAGAGAAGCACATTTGATACACTGCAGTAGGGTTAAAAAGGGTTCCTAGCACAGGTTTGGGCGCCACCAGTCTGAGACGGGAAGAAAGCTGGAGTCAGACTTCAGTGGGAGAGACTTCAGCACGGTGAGGAAGGGTAGCCAAGACACAGCAGGTAATGTGAGAGCAAGATGCTGTCCTGTGGTCATACGTCAGATCACCGGGAATCCTAAGCTTTGATAAGGACTGGAAGCTGATCTTGACAGTCCTTACAAGATTCCATCTGTAAAGTATGAAGATTGGTTGAAAATAAACACATTATCTACCTAACAAATGACTTGTCTGGACTCTTCAAAACAAAAGTATCATGAAAACAAAATGGTAGAGAGGGTACTGTTCTACATTAATGGAGACTACAGTATCATCAAGAACTGCCTGGATCCTACACAGACAAGCACAGCTACAAAGGGAGGAGTAGGGTCAGTGGGAAATTTGAATGGGGGCTTCATTGTAACATTCTTTAATATGATGTTACATTTCTGTGGTATTGATTATGGAGGGGAGAATGCAGAAAGCATTCAGAGGCAAAATATCCCTATGTCAACAAAGTCCTTTCAAATGTTTCCTCGTAAAGGAAACAGAAAATACTTGTAAGTAGGTAATAGAAAATATGGCCAAAGACTGAACAAGGTGTTCAGTTTACGCTTTAACTTCCCTAGGTTGAAATCTTTCAAAATAGAGAGACTAGGAAAAACAAAGCAAAACCTTGTTAGAAAATAAAATAAAAATAGAAAAGTGTAACATAGTAACAAATAATATGAATGTAGAAAATTATTTGAGTTAGAGATGAAATTAACTAGAATAAATGGAGAGATCATCATGGTTCTATGTAAGAAGAATGTTTTGAAGGTCAATTTCTTGCACTATATAACTTTAGTTAATTTCCAGTGGGATTATTTTCAAAACAGAATAAATGATAAACTTACATATGGAGTTGGGACATACCCCTGACAACTTTCTAAAATTAAGACTTTCATTATTCTGTAATCAACTCCAAATGGGTGAATGAAAGCTTTAAGTGGGAGAAATAAATTATCAAACTAGAAGATAATATTCATGCTACTGTAGAATCAGCACTGGACTGTGAACCACTAGCTGCTCTTCGGAAACTCTATACAGGGTCGCTATGAGTCGGAATTGACTTAACAGCACTTAAGAACAACACAACCTGATCCTTGAATAAGGGAAAGCTTTCTAAAACCTGGTAATAGAAAAAGATGAATTGAACTCATAAACATAATTTGTAAAGTTGGCAAAAAAACCAGTAGGCATAAGGGAGTATCATAGAGGTGAAAGACAAAACAGATACCAAAATGGTATATTTTATCTAACTGTATCAATAATTGGAGTCCTGGTGTGGTGCTATAGGACAAGCACTGAACTACAAGGTTGGCAAGTGAAACGTACCAGGTGCTCCTCGGAAATCCTATAGTGGGTCACTGTGAATCAGAACCAACTGCGAGGCACTTAACATAACAATAATCACATTAAATGTAAATGATCCAAAAACACTTGTTAAAAAGAAAAACCCAAACCTCTGCTGAGTCCACTGTTACTCATAGCTACCCCTACAGGACAAAGGAGAGCCACCCCATAGGGTTTCAAGGCTGTAAAGCTTTACAAAGGGAGCTACCTCATTTTTATGTGATGCAGTGTTGGGTGGTTTGAACCACTCATCTTTCAGTTAGCAGCCTAGCACTTACACCACTGTACCAGAATGGATTAAAAAAAAAAAGCAGAACTCAACTCTGTAAATAATCACCTTCAAATATATAGGTTACATATTACTGTACATTTAAAAGGGTATGACTTACCAATGGGTTAAAGAAGAAATCACAGGGAAATTAGAAACAAATGAAAATGAAAGCATAAAATTTAGGGGCACAACAAAACCAGTGCCCAGAAAAGATCTTAAATCAGTAACTTTACACCTAGTTCTTCAACCTGAAAAAGATGAGTTTTTCTTTAGTAGAAGTTGCAGTCTCCAAGGAAAAGCTATGCAACTTTCCATGTCAGTATCTTTAGTATGAAATGGGATTGTAAATATCTCATAGGTCGGAAATAAAATGATTTGTGTGAATTACCTGAGGCAGTGCCTGCTCATAATTAATACAATTCTTACTAGAATTCCCTGGGGTACAGTTAATGTATATGCTGCTAACAACAGGGTGGGCTATAAGAGTCCCTCAAGAGGTGCTGTGTATACAGAAACAGCCACTGAAAGGCCTGGTGTATACAGAACCAGCCACTGAAAGGCCTATGGAGGAGGAGCACAGTTCTACCTGATACACGTAGAATAACCATGAGTTATAAACTGGCTCAACAACAGCTAACAACACAGAAAGACAGAAAGTGGTTGCCTAGAATAGGAAGGGGGGCGGAGTCCTAGTGTGGTGCTTAGGATAAGCACTGGACCACAAGGCAGTTCAAATCCACCAAGCCACTCCTTGGAAATCCTATACAAGGTCGCTAGGAGTCAGAACCAACTCCATGACACAACAATGAGAAGGCATGGGAGTGACTGCTTAATGGGTCTGGAGTTTCTTTTGGGGATGATGTAAAAGTCGTAAAATTGATTGGGGTGATTGTATGGTAATGTGAATAAGGCATGAAAGATGGGAAAAACTACCATGCTAATACAAATTCATAGAAAGCTGAAGTAGAAATATTAGCATCATAGAACGATTTCATAGCAAAAGTATTAATCAGTCATAAAGAGGGTTATATCCTAATGTAAGAAAGGGAGTAACAATCGTAAATCTTTAAGTTATAGTCAGAGATTTTAACACTGAATGGGTAGAACAAGTGAAGAAATTCATTAAAGATAGGTAAGATTTGACTAATATTATCAACCAAATTGACTAATTGTCATTTGGACATCCCAAATTTTCTAGCACGCTTCTGGCGCTGCAGGTCCGCAAGGCCAATTTGAACTACAGCGTTGAGGGTTTAAACTCATCATTCACTCCTGGGAAACCGTAGACAGGGTCACTATGTGTCAGAACCAACTCGACAGCACTTAACTATAACAATGTGGGTAAAAAAAGAAATCATAGAAAAAATAAATTTTGAACAGAATGAAAATGGAAGCCCAACATAAATGTATAGCACTACAGGAAGGGGAGGTGCTCTACTCCCGTAAAGATTTATAGCCTCGGGACGACCCCCCCCCACAACACGGAAGGGGAGGCGCTCTGATCCCGTAAAGCTTGACAGCATCGGAACCCCCCCCCCCTCCCGCGCACAACACGGAAGGGGAGG